TTTTTTGCGGTGTTTAGGACGTCGTTTTGATTGACAGTATTGGCTGTTTGTTTTTTCTTTCTTTCTGTAGTTGTTCTTTAACGCGACCTTCTAGCTGTATTAAACTTTAGTCTACAATTTTCACTGGGTGTGGACTGGATTTTATTCAGAGCCAGTTTTTTTAGGCCGTCTGGGATGTATTAAAGCGGAATGAATGACAATTTGGTTTTGTTTGTTGCTTTTAAAGGTTCAAAATTGACTTTAAAGATTATAGGGCAAATAAGCAACTGTGTGCAAAATATCATTACTGGAAATCACAGTTGAATGTTAATATATCAGATATGAGGCTTACATAAATGAACTAGCTAAGCGTTGTACTGGGACAAAAGTAGATTTGAAGATTGTGAGGAGTGAATTTCTAATTTTAAAGGAGGAGGGGTTTCAACCTCACGTTTTATCGACCTGATTTGGGGATTTCAGAAAGGTAATCCGAGCTTGGAGCATAGAACGCAAGATGTTTGTTTTTGTTTTCAAGTGACTGCATCTGCGGTCGTTGTTGTTTGAAGTCTGGGTTAATCTCGTGCATGGGGAAGTTAAGCTCAAATTTGCTTTTGCAGAAGGAATTGTTCTGAGGCTTTAAGTGGGACGTTTTCTGTACTTCAGGATTTTTATTTCTTTAGTGTTTAATTCTTTCTTTAATCTGTTTTTTTAATCGGTTAGAGCGTGCAAAATCAGAGTTCTGTTTGTTTATAAGGCACCTGCATAACCGAATTCCCAAACATTTTTTTTTGTCATATTTTATAAACCCGGTTCGCTTGGGTTAAAAAACGGGTACAGATGATCTTTGACTAAGATTATAAACGGTACTTTGTTTTTGGTTGTGTTTTCCAAATAAAAATTTCTCGTATTCAAATAGAGTGATATGAAGTTTCCGATCACGAAAGGCAGTTGCATTATGAGGCTGGCGAGGTAAGGAAGTCTCGTACGGTAATAGTAATGGACTTAAAAGAAATTGAGAATGAAAGCCTTTGTGTTTTACTGTTTCACTTGACGATTGGAGCTCGTTTGTTGGGTTCACGTACGCCCAGGATAACAATCGCTTACGGCCAGTACTTTTAGGAGCCTCAGTTATAAGTACGCGTTGCACGAAATCTTATGAAAAAAAATCACGGCTAGAATCTCTATTCGGTATTTCTCTGTATTACTCTAACTATTCTCCTCGCCAAGTCATTCAGGTATTTTGTTTCAAAGTTTTCTTTAGGTCTTCAGTGTTTTAATTTTTTCCTAGGTGATGAAAGTACTGTACCTATTACTGACCCAATTAATTTTGTTTGAATTTATTGTTCTTTTGCGTGTAAAAATTTTTGTGACATTAGGTCTATTGTTGACTTTTCATAGGTAGTTTATGAGAACTTTTTGATGTATATGCTATATGATTTAAAAACATTGATATTGCAGCATAGATCGAGTTTTGCATCTGGAGAATGTTGGTCTTTTGAAGGGACTGGTTATCTGGTCATAAAGTTATCGCATCCTGTTTACGTAACCGAAATAAGTTATGAGCATTTGCCTCTTTGTCTCTATCCAGATGGGAACATGAAAAGTGCCCCGAAGCTTTTCCAGATTTGGGTGAGTTTTTCTTAATTCGCGTGATTCGTGTCTTTTCATCTGTTTTTGTTTTATTTATTTGTTTTTTCTCGCTAATGGCGTTATATGATGCTTTCTTGAAACGGTCTTTATTTGTTTTCTTTTCAGTCATTAAGAGAACCAGAAGACTTGAGCTCCAAATACCTCATTGGTGAGTATGAGTACAATATTAGCGGGCAGTCACTGCAAACGTTCCCTGCTCAGGTCAGGTCTACAGAGATTGTTTTTTATGTCTTTTAATTTCTAAAACAATTTTTCCTTTTAGAATATCCCACCGGATCCTACATCATTTATTGAACTAATTGTACTTTCCAACTGGGGAGCCTCCTACACGTGCCTTTATCGGTTAAGGGTGCATGGGAAACTACCTACGAACGCAACTGTGTAATTTTTTGTTTATTTGCTTTTTTGTCTGTTTTCTTTTTCAGTTGAGACGAAATTGTTTATTTATTTTATATATTACTTTCCAAATACGATTTTACTTTGTTTTAGCGATACTCCAATAATTGAGACTTGATCTTCACTACAGAATGAAAACCTGGTACTTTTATCCTTCCTGAAAGGTGTTGTAATAATGGCTTATGTTGGGTGCAGGAATTGATTTCCTCTTTTTCGATTGGAAGGCTTTTAATACAGCTCAAATTGGTATGGTACGGCCCTTGAAAAGTTGCTTTTAAATTTTATGTTGCAGTTGTGGTGTTATCGGTATCTGTAGTTACTTTCCTTCTTCAACATTTTACGCTTACAGTTGTTTAGCCAAAACTTGTATCCTCATTTTCATGTGTTTGCTCTTTAAAATATTTTTTCTTGTAAAGGAACCTCAGTGAACTAAGGCAAGGACGAGCAAGGCGTTGTGTAATCATATACTTTGTTGTAGAGATTTTATTTGTAATGCAGATAGAGATTTTTCTAGACGGTGTGCATAATAATTTGTTTTCGTCATTTCTGCAGTATTTTTTGATTTTTGCCTTTTATTTTCACAATATTGCGTTCATATTCGATCTCTCTGATTTCACTCATTATTTGCCGATTTTGTATAAATTACTGCTGTACATTTTGAGATAATAAGCTAGTTTTCTATGTTTTTGAGTCACAGTCGAAGCATTAATTTATTTTTCATGAAAGCGGTGGTTACTTCATTTTCGATTAGGGTCATCAGTAAATTTACTTTAGAACAGCAATAATTGACATCTATCTATTCATAATAATTTCAGCAAAATGTAATTTTGTCTTTTGAATTTCGTTTAGTCGCTCTGTAGCATTGTAGATAATTTTTTCATTTCCTGGTAGAAACAACCGATAATGCGTGACCTTGTTAGTTACGGCCGTCTTAACAAGCGACTGTGTGAGATCTGCCGTGCTCGTCACTGAGATTCTTATTTCCACTTCAAAGTTTCGCAGTTACATATCGTGCCTCCCCATTCAACTTTTTGGGGACGCAAACGCTTGCTCAATTCTTTAGATCGATTCCATTGCTGACAATCCCGAACAGTGGTTTAAGGGGGAGTGACGCGCAATTTTTGTTTTCAGGTTTTTTTTGAATGGACACCTGTTGATTTAGATATACTGAAAGCTTCTCAAAGAAACTTAATTAGAACTGGTGGAGTGACAAATACTTCATAGTGGTTAGCAAGTCGTCAGTCTGTAGACTGTGGTGGACTTGAAGAGAGGGGACAAAGTAGGGGTAACAGTAGTTTAATGTGTGGGATGTCAGTCACAGTGGGCGATTTGCTACAGGTTATTGTGGTTGAAATTTATTTGCTATTTTTGCATTTCTCTTCATTTCGTTTGTTCCTTAATTTGATTGTATGTTTACTAAATTTGTGTATCATTTTAAGCTTGTCTATTTTATATGCATCACTGTTCACAGAAATGTAATATAGTCTTCGTTTTGAAACTTTTGTAATCAAAAGAAATATTAGTGGAAGTAAAACAAAGTTATAATAATTAGTCTGCAGACTTTTAACATCAACCCATGTTTTCTCTGGTTTAATCTCCAACATTATAAAGTCTCAAATCTGTGAGCGAATATAACCGAAATGGTGCTTTGAAATCAACTTTTGTTGGACGTTTTAGGAGGTATTAGGAATCGATTTTTGGGGCTTTGATTATTGATTTTTTCGGGTAATAAACTACTGATGAATAAAATATGTGCTTTACGAAGGTCATGAGTTAATTAGTAAGTTGAAACTGTTGGTGGGATGATTTGTCTTTTTGTTGGATTGAAACAGAGAACATTGTTAACCCGTTTTTGGTAAACATACAGTTGTACACGTAATTACACAGATATTACTCAGCAGGGATAAAAATGTTGAAGTCGGGGTTTGGTTTCTGTTGCTCAGTACCGATGATTCGGGCAAATGACTCTCGGATACAAGGGTTGCTACCGACCATCCAGCATATTAGCATTAGGGTCGCTGTTGGCAGCAGACAAAACTGAAAAGTTTAAATTCTAATTTTTGCACGATTTTTATTGGATTTCGCGAACTGTTTAAGTTGTCCTTGTCTGGTGGGATGATTCTCGTTTTGTGCATGTTTTTTGTTTTTGCTTTTTCTAAGTTGTTGTGAAAAGTAACACTTACAAGGCACTTGATATGCGATGTTTAAGTAGTTTTTTAAGAGGCTGAAATGTTTTTTTGTAAGATAGCGCTACTTGTAATCTATTACTTATGTGCTTAAATGCAATCAGTTTTTTAAGAAACGTTCTATTTAATTTTTGAACTATGACAAATGAATTGAACAGGTGGTCAATTTAGAACTTTTTGAAAATGTTTTGGTCTGATACAGTGGAGGATAGAAAGATTAGTGCTGTCGTCATTATGTCATTATTTTAATCGATGGCGCTACCTCGTCAAATTGCTACCTTTAGACTGGTTGTTTAATACGTTACATATAGTTTACGGAACACCAAACTGATAAGGGGCTTACCTCAACTTGTTCGAAAACAGCAAAGTCTGATAACTGAGAAACATAAGCGTTAAAATTATTGCTGGCTGACGGTAGAAAGTTTTGAGATACTATAACACTGGTGAAAGCCAAAAGAGAATTTATAAGAACAATTGATCCCGAAATATTGGTTGCAGAATTATCTGACGGTTTTCGGATTTCGGTGACCGATTTAATTCCAGTCTTGTTGCGCTAAAAATATTAGTAAAAGAAATGTTATAAGGAGGTATAATTTTGAGCTCTGTCTTCATGGGAATCTTGATAGTGTCGTATGTTTAAAAATCGCCTTTTTTACTGCGTCGCTTTTACGCTCGTAGCTTACTATGTGGTCTCCTTATTTTATAACTGTTGTGAAAGGTTTGATACAGTATGAAGCTTTCACAAAACTGTATTTCGTTTACAGTTTAAAAATTATAAACAGTTAGAGCAGCCAAATGTTTACCAACGACTCGAAGTAGTTATGACAGATAAGCACAAGAATAACTAGCGAAGCACTCGAATGAATGACTGTTGTAATGCACCGAATATTCTGCCAGTATTTAGCATTGTACAGGTCAACGGAGCAATACGGTTTCAAAGTATTACCGGTTTGTTTACTAATCAAAGTTAATGGTAAACCCACAGACCACTAAAAGAAAGTAATATATAACCAAATACTGATTGATAAATGGCTGTAAAGGAGTTTTAATAGCAAAAATAATTTAAAAATGATGCATTTCTGGTTCCGAGTTCTTTTTTCGTTTTTCTTTGAAATATTATACTCTAAAAGGATAGCTTTCAGACAAATGGCTATTAATGTTACTCATATAAAGGGTAAAAATGAGTTAGAAAGAAAAAGATAAGCAGATTTATTTTCTCAGTTTGCTTTATTTAGAAACAATGATTTTGGTCAGAAATTTTATGCTTATAAATCATTGGCTAGAACAGATTTCGGTGAATTTAGGTTTCTTTGTACAGTTTTTCTGAACCCTAATTCGTTAAGCTGTAAGTCCAATTCTATGGTATTTACCCGTACTTCAAGCAGTTTATTTTGATTTAACAATTTGAACACCACACTCAGACGAAATTATTTTTTAAACGTTGTCACTGAGTTTATCTTTCAGACATAACTTCTTCTTATGTTTTGAAGAATGGATGATCACCTGCATTTTTTATGTGGTTACAATCACATACAGATGCACTATTTTAAGTGTACAGCTCAAAAAGTAGATTTTTCTACTAGGACAATTATGAATTTGTTGAGTATTCTACCTGTAACACGGCAAACAAACGACCAATCCATTTTTTTTGATGTAGAAGATATGCAAAACCGAGCAGTGTACCCATCACCCTCTCAATCGCCAACAGTGCTGTAGACAATACGGCAACTGTCGCTCCAACATAATGTATACTTATTAAGGCTGAAAAAGGGGATGGCTAGACATATGGTATAATGAATGGTAGAACCAGAAGTTTCAAAAGATTGTTAAGACAATAAGTTTGACGCAGGTTTCAAAATAATGTTTGATGGGGAAAAATTTTTTTATTTGAGCATTTTACTGTAGATTTTTACCAAAAATAGAATTACTGTTTCTTATTATTTTTAACAAAAATTTACTGATAGTAACGAATATGATTTTGAAAAAAATAAAATTGAAGATGTCTGTGACTTAAACGTAGCTTTTAAATAGTATCAATTTAGGTGTTAAAGAAATGATAATCTTAACATAAAAATACGATATAAAATATGCTTATTCAACCAATCTTCTTTTAACAAGCTTAGATTAGTGTATCAAAACCATTAACATGAAACTGTGCTTTTGAAAAGTTATTTGAATTTTTTTAGGAGTACAAAATGATGCTAAACTTTCTGCAGTGATAGCTGACTGAAGACGACTAATTATTGTTCCAGAGGAAACTCATCAAAAAAGGGATCTGAAGAGCAAAATCAAACGCATTTATGTTCTTAGCATAACATCTGAGAGTTTATTGCGACGACACTTATATATTTTCTCTAATAATAGAGGAGAAGTTTCAAGGAAGTGAGGCTTAGATTATGGTACTTAGACTGCACTAAACTAAGAATTTCATTTGGAATAAAAGAGTGTAATTGTAGGTAATTTTTTAGAATCTCAAACTGCTACAAAAACGACTTGTTGCATGTCTTGCAAACAATAGTTGTTGAAACTGCAAACCAATACAGATTGCAATATATTGGTGACATAAAAGCTAAAAAATATCTTTATCCCTGACGGTAGACAATTTTCTTTAATTGCCGTATGATGAAACAGACCTACACTCCCCAATCACCAGCAAATTATCAGTTCTTTGTACTCAAAAGAAGAAGTTTCCTCATTTAACGAAAAAAGAAAAACAATTATTCTAATAGAAATTTCAC